TAAACAATCTGCTGCTGCTGCTGCTGCTGCTGCCTTCCAGTGCAGCAGCAGCAGCAGCATCAGCAACGGCAACAGCAGCAGGCAGCAGGAGGAGCTAGAGCAGCAGCAGACAGAGTAGCAGCAGCAAGTGCAGCAACAGCAGCAGGAGCAGCAGCAAGTGCAGCAACAGCAGCAGGAGCAGCAGAAAGAGGAGCAACAGCAGCTTCCGCTGCTGCTGCTGCTGAACATGTATTTAGGGTTTAGATGGTCGGTGAGGGTTTAGGGTTATATTTAGGGTTTAGGGTTTATGTGTACGTACACCCCAATAACGAAGGTTTTCTTCTTTTTTTCTTTTTATACTTTGAATTGTAGTTACTATCTTTATTCTTTATTGGATACGAACCTCTAGGGTTTAGGGTTTAGGGTCTAGGGTCTAGGGTCTAGAGTTTAGTGTTTAGGGTTTAAAGTTAAGGGTCTGCTGTTTAGGGTTTAGGGTTTAGGGTCTAGAGTTTAGTGTTTCGGGTTTAGAGTTACGGGTCTACGCTTTAGGGTTTAGGGTTTAGGGTTTAGGTCTAATTAGATAAAGGTGAATTAACTGGCAACTGCTAGGTGCGTAGGGTTTAGTGTTAAGGGTTTAGTCTATGAAATGTTTAGGGTTTAGGGTTTAGGGTTTGGGGTTTTAATAGTTGTGTGTTTTTGAATTGATGGTAACAAATAAGGGTTTAGGGTTTAGGGTTTACTAGAAAATATGTATAGTGACTAAGAGTAGTAAATAAGGGTTTAGTGCATTCGTTTATACTAAGGGGAATCTATTATTAGGGTTTAGGGTTTAGGGTTTAGGGTTTAGGGTTTATTTAAATAATGGACTGACGGGGAATTGAACCCCGGACCTTTTGCATGCGAAGCAAACGTGATACCCCTACACCATCAGCCCGTTAATAGTAATTAGGGTTTAGGGTTTAGGGTTTAGGGTTTAGGGTTTACAACAATAATATGAATAAAATCCTATTAATTCATTGGATTCCTTCCTTATTCATCTATTAAACTTTTTTTTTAGGTGTATAGGCAGCTATAAACCCTAAACCCTCGTACGCCTCCTCCCTCTTCCTCTTCTTTTTCTTCTTTTCTTATCTATTGCATGCAATTGAGGTGTACGTACACCTCAATTGCATGCATAAAATATAATTTAAAAGAAATATTATTATTTATTTCTTTTTTATTCCTTTATAAGACTACAAGCAGCAGCAGCAGCAGCAGCAACAGCAGCAGCTGCTGCTCGATATATATATACATATTCAACAGCAGCAGCAGCAGAAGGGTTTATGTTATTGACTTTTCTTCCTTTTTCTTCTTCTTTTTCTTATTTATTCCTCTTTTTTTCTTTTATATAAACCCCAATACTTCTTATAACTCCTAAACCCTAAACCCCAAACCCTAAACCCTCAAGGAATCGACGGGGGCTTCACGCCTCCTATACCGCCCATGGAGCTCCGTCGTAGCCTTCTTCAAACCCTAAACCCTAAACCCTAAACCCTAATCCTATTGACATAAAGATTAGGGTTTCAAGGGTTTGCTAGCAGCTGCAGCAAAATTGCTGCAGGTTTTGCTGCTGCAGGGTTTGCTGCTGCAGGGTTTACAGCAGCAACAATGGATAAAAAAGCGAGGGTTTACTCTTTTATAAATAAGGGTTATAAACCCTTAATTAGAGCTGCCTATACACCCCAACGTTGCTGCTGCTTCTCTCGTTGCTGCCGTCTTTTTATTTGCCTCCTGCTGCTAATTGCATGCACCTCCTCCTCCCTCCATGGGCCAGCAGCAACAGCAGCAGCAGCAGCAGCAGCAGCAGCAGCAGCAGATAAACCCTCAGCAACGACAAACAAGGGCAGCGCTAACAACAAAGATGCCAATGAACTTGTTACGGTAAGTACAAACCCTAAACCCTAAACCCTAAACCCTAAACCCTAGACCACCATAATATATGTATAATATATCAATCGAGGGTTTAGCTTATACTGTATGCTGCTCATCCTTTATTCTTGAGGGTTTAGGGTTTAGGGTTTAGGGTTCATTGTTTATTGTTATGTGTATAGGTATCAGTAGCAATACCTGATTTATTTATGAATGGAGGGTTTAGGGTTTACGAGGGTTTAGGGTTTTCCTTTAATTCATTAAATAATAATAGGGTTATTAAGATTCGTGTTGCTGCAGCAACAACAGCAAAAGAGTTGCTGCTGCTGCTGCTTACTGTACATACTAATGCAGCAGCAGATGTGCTGCAGCAGCTAAAACAGCTGCAGCAGCAGCAGCAAGATGACGAACAGCAGCAGCAGCAGCAGCAGGAGCATCAGGTGCTGCTGCGTGCGCTGCAAGGAGATGAATCCTTGCAGCAGCTGCAGCAGCAAATTGAGCAGCAGCTAAAGCAATCCTGCAGCAGCAGCAGCAGCAGCAGCAGCAGCAGCAGCAATGAATGTCCTCAAGAGAATCGCATGCATGCAGTTGGTGCTGCTGCTGCTGCACTTGCTGCTTCTGCTGCACCGCAGCTGCATGCAGTGTCTCTTTTCTCTAGATTTACCTTCTCTCCCTTTGATGCAAAGAAGACAGTAGGCAAAACAAGAAGGAGACGCAGCAGCAGCAGCAGCAGCAACAACAGCAGCAGCAGCAGCAGCAGCACAAGACTGGGTAGCAATATTAGCAGCAGAGTTACTAGCAGATTAGGGGGAAGCAGCAGCAGCAGCAGCAGCAAAATCAGCAGCAGAGTAACTAGCCGTTTAATTGGTAGTATAGGTATAGGCAGCAGCAGCAGCAGCAGCAACAACAACAACAGCAGCAGCAGCAGCAGCAGCAGCAGCAAGAGTAGGAAAGAAATAACATTAAGAAATATAATAGAAAGAAAAAAGACAAAAAGAGACAAAAGAGACACATGGAGACACAAGACACAAACAATAGCATTAGGAGGGGGACACCATAGACACAGCAGCAGCAGCAGCAGCAGCAGCAACAGCAGCAGCAGCAGCAGCAGCAGCAGCAATAATAATAATAATTATACTAAAAAGGGACATAATAAAGATAAACATAAAAAGGAGACAGAAGGAGACAAAGGAAAAGAGACAAATAAATATAAACAAATAAATAAACAAATAAATAAACAAGAAGAAGAACAAGAAGAAGAAGAAGAAGAAGGAGGGGGAGGAGGAGGAGGAGGAGGAGGAGGAGGAGAAGAAGAAGGAGAAGGAGAAGAAGAAGAAATAATAAATATTAATAAAGGAGGAGACAAGGAAGGAGGAGACAGGGAGGGAGGAGACAAGGAAAGAGGAGACAAGGAGGGAGGAGACAAGGAAGAAGGAGACAATTATATAAATAATAATAATAATAATAATAATAATAATAAAGAAATAAATAAAGAAATAAATAAAGAAAAAGGAGACACTTATAAAGGAGACAATAAAGGAGACAATAAGGGGGAGAATAAGGGGGAGAATAAGGGGGAGAATAAGGGGGAGAATAAGGGGGAGAATAAGGGAGAGAATAAGGGGGAGAATAAGGAGACAAAAGGAGACAATAAAGGAGACAATAAGGGGGAGAATAAGATAACAATAAGAGGAAGAAATAATAATAAGACAATAAGGATAAAAGAAAAAGAAAAAGAAAAAGAAAAAAATAATAATATAACAATAAGGAGACAATTAATAAAAGGAGACACTTATAAAGGAGAGAATAATTATAAAGAAGAAAATACAAAAAGAATAATAACAATAAATAAAAAAAATATAAATAATAATAATAATAATAATAATATTAATATAAATATAAATAATAATATTAATAAATGTCTCCTTTTCCCTATGCAAGATAATTGTACAGCTAAATTATTTGTTAATTATCCTCTACAACTTACTATACAAGATTATGAATTCCCTGTAAACCCTAAACCCTAAACCCTAAACCCTAAACCCTAAACCCTAAACCCTAAACCCTTTTAGTCATAATTTATATATATATATATATAATAATAAATCCTAGATATTATTAGAAGTTATAAAAGAAACATTAGTAATTATTTATATATATTATTAAGTATTTATATAAATATTTTTTTTATATAAAAATTTTTTAGGGTTTAGGGTTTAGGGTTTAGGGTTTAGGGTTTGTGTTACAGAGGGAAATATTGAACGAAACCCTAGCAGTATGGCAAGATCGTGTTGCAGCAGAAATTCTTTTTTCTCTTCATTTAGATAAAAGGGTTTATTATGATCTTACTGGCAAATTAATTAATGTAAGGTTGCTGCTGCTGCTGCTGCTGTTGCTGTTGCTGCTGCTGCTGCTGCTGCTGCTGCTGCTGCTGCTGCTGTTGCTGGTGGTGGTTTGTACGAGGGATGCAACTTTGTGTATTGATTTGTTGTTGTTGCTGCTGCTGCGTTAAGCTGGGGAGGGAAAGATATTTTCTAGGGTTTAGGGTTTAGGGTTTAGGGTTTATGGTGTATGTATACAGGTGAAGGTATATTTACTAAACCCTTTGCATAGTATATTAGTGTTAGCTGTACCTGCAGATTTATCTCTTTCTTTCTTTCTTTCTTTCTTTTTATCCTTAGTAATTAATAATAATAATAATAATAATAGTAATAATAATGCAGCAGCAGCAGCAGCAACAGCAACAGCAGCAGATGCAGGAACAACAGCAGCAGCAGCAGCTGCTGCTGCTGCAGCTGCAGCAGCAGAAGGGTTTGCTGCCTCCTCTGCCTCATCAGGAGACACCGCAAGAATCACCAGCACCAGCACCAGCAACAGCAGCAGCAACAGCAGCAGCAGCAGCAACAGCAGCAGCAGCAGCAGCAGCAGCAGCAGCAGCAGCAGCAGCAGCAGCAGCAGCAGCATAACTGCATTTTCTTTAGATAAGAAGAGACTATTAGGAGACATGAAAGTAAAAGATGCAGCAAAACATGGTATTGTTGTACATGTAGGTCTCCCTCCTGCTGCTGCTGCTGCTGTTGCTGCTGCTGGACAACGACGACGACGACAACGAC